CAGAGTTCGATTGCAAGCAACGAGACTTGGATCTATTTGCCAGGGATTTGGGAGTCGGGAGCTGCTCGAGTTGAATGTTGCCAAGCTTACTCAGCTTACTCACTACCAACATGAGTATTACCAGGAGAGGTCAAAAGGACACAAAACTGATACAGACGGTAAGGACTCTTACCGTCTGTATCAGTTTTGTGTCTTGACTTTTACCGTCTGTATCAGTTTTGTGTCTTTTTGACCTCTCTTGGTAAGAGACTGTAAGAGGCATTGTTCATGTGAGCTCATGTTTGGTGGCCCGACTCAGGAAATGGGGAATTTCTCAAAGGAAGAGAATGCCAGGCAGGCTTCTGGAAGGGTAGCATGGCCTGGTGATTAACAAATGCTTGTGTTTACATTTTGAATCCGTGTTGTCTGTGCTTTGATGGTGTGTGTTCTCAGGGCTTCTTGCTGCACATATCCTGCGCACTCTCAGGAAGATTTCCACGAGCTACCCAAATAACGGTCGACATCAGGGAGCTGTGGGAAGATCCTGCAAATAACATTTTTGCAGGGTCTGGCAAGGGCCAGGGTGGCAAGCGCGGAGGAAAAGGCAAGGGAAAGAAGGGTGTCTTGGCTTGATGTTCTTTGCCTGACCTTGTTCTTTTCCAGTGCTCTTTTTTGGCCACAGTTCTATGAAGCGTACTCCTTCTGAAGCGTTCCTGCAAGTTGTCTAACGAGATGTGGATTGTGAAAGAAACTGTTGATCCGTTTCACCTACCCCTGCTTCACCTACCCCTGCTGAGGTGATGTCATCTATCACCAGGAATCCTTGTACAGTGTCCTCGCTCAGCCAGCGGCGAGCCTGGTTTGCGCTACGCTCCTGAACATCATCCTGGCGCACATCAGGCTGCACAGCCACAGCCGGCATCAACTTGTCCTGCAAATTGTTTGTGCCGTGGCTTTGTGTGGAAATTTCTGCTAATGCTGGTTTCATTTGTCATGTCTGCTCTTGCGTGTCTTTTGGCCAAAGTCTAAACCTTTGTCTCAGGCTCGAAAGGACTTCACAGATCCTCATCAGCGCTGCTTGCCATAGCTTGCCTTCTGGGCTGGGAGTCGCCATTCTTCCTGCCATCGATCCTGGGGCTGCTTGGCTTGGTTGGGTTCATTGAATTGTTCATTTAGATCCAAACTCATTCATTCAGTTTCAAAAGCTGTTCGTTGAACTGTTCATTCATTCAGATTCATTCAGATTCTGCCCCAGTCTTGGTTCATGGTGGAGCACTCAGGATGTCAGCGCAAGCATGGACAGAAGCCCCAGAATCCTTTGATGCAACTGTGGAAAGCTTGGTGCGTGGCTGGAACCTCCAGGCTGAGGTTCAGGCTGAGGCATCACAGGAACGGAAGGGCGATGATGAGGAGAACAAGAATGATGGGGAGCTGGAGGAGGAGGTCACAGCAATCCAGAAGGCAAGACTTGACTTTGTGATTGATTCACACAAGAGTTCATGTCATGACTTTACTCTTGCTAGCATTCTATCTGGTATATCTTGGTGTAGCCATGATGAAAGAGGGGGCTGCTTGTAGGCTTTTTGATGGCACTAAACAGGATTAGCTGGCGTCTGGCATTCACAGGTGAAGCACCAGTTCAAGCAAACAGCCCCAGATGTGTACGCTATCTTGATGCAAATGAACTTCTCTGAATCAATATGGCTTGTGCCTTGGATTGTTTGAGATGATCCATTGACAACTCTGCACTTAGACTTGAGTCAATTGAGGGGCCTTTTTATCACAGACGACCCGGCGTGCACACTTGAGGCCACGCCGATTTCAATTTCATGTATCTAAGGGCTTCTGGAATTTGTGGACTTACAATCCAGGGCATTCTCACCGCTTCATCAGGGAGTTCGCGTTGCAATGTCTGAACCACCTCCAAAATCGCCACTGGCGTTGTCCAGAGAATGTGGCGATAAACATGTTGAACGAGAAAATGTTGCTTGCAAGAAACTTGGTTGCCGTTCATGGTTCAAACTATTAAGATCCGTGAAGGTCACCGTTTTGGAAGCTTGGGTCCGCGCGCGCGCGCGCGCGCGCGCCTTTTTGGGCTCTACAAACGGCTGTCGGAGGCGCGCGCGCGCGCGCGCGGACCCAAAGCCACTTGAAAAAAAAAGGTGGCCTCACGGGCCTCACACAGAATCTTTTACTTCAAAGCTCATTGTCTTGTTGAAATTGTCTTGTTGTTCATTCATGGTCTCGTTGCCCAGGAAGGGGGGTTGAAGCTTCATCCTCAAAGCGGGCAAGGTCTGAATGGTGGGACAGCGAGTGGAGCCAGCAGGATCGGTGGGCCAACCAGAGTGAGTGGGGCAGGCAGTGGTGATGTTTTGACTTGGACAGTGACAAAAGACAGAGACTCTGGACATTGACATGGACTCGGAGCAACGACAACAACAACAATTAACTACGGCAGCGACAACAAAATCAACAATAAACAACTCGTACAACAATGTGACATTGGAAGCACCTGTCATTTTTCCAAGAGTCTCCTTTTTATGGAATGGTCTTTGGAATTGTCCATCCCTGAATGGACTGCGCAGTGGACCTTTGTGAGAAAAGTGGCTGTTACTTTGCACCTAGGTTTGAACGGTCACTTCACCAGTCAGTGCATTCTGTCTGGAGATTCGCCCCTTTGCTTTGCAGGTGCCTTGAGCTTGGAGTCAGGCCCTTTGCTTGAGGTGCTGCGAGCTTGATATGGGGGCATGGTTGTTGAGGGGTGGAATCTTGATTCATTTTGGAGCAAGGGACTCTTGTCACAAATGTCTAAGGTAGTTTTGTTGAGATTGCTTCGCGTGACTGTCAAAGGCCCGACTCAGACTCAGACTCCTGCTGGAATCTCAGATTCAGAGTAGGTATGTCCCCTTCCTGTGTGGGGTCTCACAAGGGACCTTCCCAAGCCGGTAATTTACAGGATTTGTCACGTTGGCATGATATCTTTTACAGGCAGTTGAGATTGTTTCGCATGACATTGGAGCCCCAGGAAATTTATCACATTGGCCTGAGACAGCCAGACAGACAGACCCAGACAGCGAAGTGCATCTCCTTTGTTCTCTCAGGCCAAGCCTGAAATCTGACATAACCCCCGCCGGCCAGTGCCTTGGTGGTAATTGAACCTTGAGCTTTTGTGTTGTCAATGAACCAATGCATCAAAACAATGTTCCACTTGGGAATAGCACCAAAACTGGGGTTTGCTGGGCTATGTTGTTGATTTGTATTTGTGACATTGTCAATCTGCACTCTCATGTGATGTCTACTCCAGCTCGCTGCTTTGCGGGTGCATGCAGCTTGAAGTCAACACCCTTCCCTTGGTGTTGCGAGCCTAGTTCTGTAAGGGACGTATCCATTGGCTTGAGAACTCGCACAGGCTGTGCTGGTCATGTGTACTCCAAGCAAATTAATTCCGCCCAAGTAAAGCTGATGATTGCATCAAACTGAGGCAGTGTGACCTGACCTATAAACTCCAAGAAGCCAGCAGCCAGCGCCTCAAGATGGAGACTTGCACATTGATCGTGGGGGCGGTGTGTTTAAGTGACATTTGTCATTGGAATCCTTGACTCCCTATTGTAGAAGTGGTTGGAAACAGTTGTCCGAGGCAGCTTGACTTGATGTGGTCTTTCCTTGAGCCAGGGTCTCAAGATAGAGAGTTGCGCAATAAACGCTTTCAACTGAATTGCGAGATTTGAGTGCAGTGATTGCTGTAAGTGCTTATTGAAATGCAATTGAGTTTGCACTTCCGTGATGTCTGTTCACTTGTTCACAACCGAGAGCTTTTGGTGTGCTCAGTGGGTCGGATCATTGGTTTGACTTGGACTTGTGACGTGATGGCGATGCGTGGAGGACACCGTAGCAGCAAGAGGGCGCGAGTGGAGCCACAAATGCCGATGATGAACCCCATGATGATGAATCCAATGACCCCCCAGCTTATGATGGGACAGGCTATGAACCCATTTGCTTTCAGCATGATGAATCCGATGATGGGTGTTGGAGTGAACCAGGCAATGGCTAGCCACATGCATCCAGCCCAAATGAACCCTCAGCAGGACACAGAGCCCTTGTCTGAATCGGACGGTGAGGCGGCTGCAATTGAAGGTAGTGGCGCGGGGGCCGTTTCTTTTCAGGAAGCTGAGAGGCAGGCATTGCAGGAGATGCGTGACCGCCGGGCTGGGCTCTTGAAGAACCTCTCGCCTGACAACAAGATCACCAGGAGTGCATCAATGATCCGGGCCTTGCCCAAGGACAGTGGCCTGAGGGAGAAATTTGGAAATTGCACGTGTTTGTAGTAGACTCCTGATCCCTGATGTGTTTGTGAAATCTAAGTTGTTTTGTGTGACTATTTGAGTTTTGTTCCTTGTGGAACCAATGTGATTATTGTGACCCACCTGCAGAAACGCTTGTCTGAAGCCATCGAAGCAATAGATGAGAGCTTGGAGCCCACAATCACATCGGATTTGAGCACCGCCGGCCTCACCCGTTTGCTGTGGGTATTGCGCAGGCAGAAACCAAGCTGCCCACTTTCACGCCTCCGCGTGGAGTACTACTCTCAGCTAAATTGCAGGCTCCGATCCACACATCTTCGCCTACTTGGCTGTTCCAATGATGTTCAAGAAGCAGTGGCGGCAATTCGGGGGCAGGCATTGTTGGATGACAACTTTGTGACTGCTCTCTCGGAAGCACAGGGATTTGAGTCAGCATGGCTTGTGGAATGTGAGCCCAAAGCACGGGGCAGAGGTGCAAAGGCAGTTGCGCATGAACGTTTAGCTGCAGCCCAGTCCAGTCAAACACTTCCGTCAATGCTTGCTGCAACCAGATCTGCTTTTGCAGAATTTGCTGATGTGGCCAGAGCAGCTGCTGGGGTGCCTGCTGCTGGTGTTACCAGTATGGGCCCACCGCCTTCTCTTGCAGCAAGTGCGAAGGCTCCTTCAATGGCAGCGCCCAAGCCTGCCCCAATGCTGGCTCCGCCTTTGGTGTCTCCTTCAATGCCACAGGTGAGCCCGGCAGCAGGCAATGCTTTGGTCCATGTGACGGAGTACGCTCAAGCTCAAACGCCAGAGGTGAGCCCTGCAGCTGAGAATGTGGCAGCAGAGGGTGGCATTTACTGCGGGCTGCTCTCCGGAGACAATCAGTTGAAGAAGGCCAGTTGGTCGTGTGATGTTGATATGTAAGAGTGTGGCTTTGTATGTTGATATGTAGCTTTAATTATTACATAATCTATTATACCGTTGTTGAACTCACATGGCCACCCTGGCAGGAGGCTGCTTCTTTGATGGCTGTAGACCACGGCATCCTGCTCAAGCTTGAACAACTGGCAGCGGACAGCAATTTCTCTCCAGGAATTTTGCAAGACCTGAAAGTTGTTATCACACCAGCCATTCGCATTCTGTTTCAGGCCTATGAGGAGGATGGATACCACCCAAGGTCTGCAGGGGGCAAACATATCCTGCGGGGCTTGTGCCTGACGCTTCCAGACAGCAAACTGGTTGAGGATATCCATGGAGTGTTGAGAAACGGGCGAGGAAACCGGAGGAACCGGAGGCAAACGGTTCATTCTTTTCAGGAGTTGGTGACACATTCAGGAGTGCTTGCGACAAGATCCATTCAGCACAAAGCCCATGTGGGCAGAGATGTCTTCCTACGTTCTTTCCCAAAAACCAGGGACACAAAGAGAAAAAGGCCAGGCTGTTGGTTTTGCGTGTTAATTTGTGGCTCATTTTCTTGAAGAAATTAAAAGACAAACTTGCCAGTAGCTAGGTTGTTTTGAATATGTGCTCATTTTTCACAAGCTTACTTTGCTTTTTCTCTCTCAAAGCCCCTGTTGAAGGAGGTACTTTGCCAGAGTGCACAAGCTCCCGCAAGCTTGGGGTGATCTTTGTGGCAGGAAAAAGTGGAACACACTCAATGAGGAGACTTTGCATCGAGGTGTTGCGGCCTTGAATTTTCTCAGGAGCTACACTGCTCTTCACTGGGCTGACCTAGGTGTCAGGATTGCTCATGGGAGGCTCAGCAAGTTTGCTTCTGAGCTGTGCGTCATGGAAAAACGGAACAATGAGAACATGAGGGTGTACATTGGCTTTTGTTTAAGCAATGCTGAATGGGGTTGCCTGTTTTGGCCGCTCTGTTTCCATCAGCTTGGTGACTTCCAAGCGTATACTTTGGATCCTCAGGGAGAAGTGGAGTGGGTACATGTGCTGAACCCACAAGATTGGCATGTGTGGGATCACAGTGTGAAAGTGGTCAGTGAGCGAATCTACCTCACAGTTCATTCCTCTGCCCCTCTCTTGAAGCACTTTCTTCAAAATCCGCGATGCCAAAGCAGTCTGACGATTGCAGACATGACACTTGTATCGGAAGTCTTGGGAATGGACACTTCGGTGTTTGACCCAAAAAAATGAAACGGCACGAGCTGATGTCTGCAATGGGTTGCCAAAATCAAAGAGGCCATGAAGACCCCAGTCAAGAACTCGTCTTGCCTTGGCGATGTGTTGGACGAAGTCATTCTGTCCGAAATGCCACTGGAAGAGCAGCGAGAGTTTAAAGAAGTAGTGGACGAGGTGGGAGCTAGGAAGATGTTCGGTTGGTCTCAGGCTGAGCAAAAGTTGAAGGACAAGAAGAGAAAAAGGGCTCCAAAGGCAAAAGCCAAACCCAAAGCAAAAGCAAAGGCTAGGGGCAAAAGGCAGTTGAATCCGAAGTTCTTGCAGCGCCAGCGAAAGGCTTTACGGCTTGCAATTGAAAACAATGCCCCAGAAGAGTCTGCGCCTTCAAGGGCAGCGCCTGCAGAGCCATCCACA